TGACATCACCTTGAGTGACTTGAAGTTGGTTCCATCAAATGTGAATCAAAAATCAGTGGTGTAAATACATACAGAACAATCCTTGAAAACAATGTAGTAACATTCAAAAGTACTTGGGAAGAAAATAATATAAAATAAAAATAAGTATGAACTTTAGCAAATTTAACAATAACATAAAACACTATTTACACTATTCGGACTGTTTTCCTCATCTTTATTGTCATATTCACAATTTTGTATGCTTTGGCCCTTTTCAGGTGATATACATTGAAATTTCAAACCGAACCCTTTATTTAGTCCATGGGGATAGACTGTTCTAGTTCCACATGCCATGCCTTTTTTGGATATCTCAGTTTCAGTTAATTCCCTTTAGTAACTTAACTCTCCAAGTTTTTTGTGCACTTCTGTTGTGGCCAGGTATTGAATTCACAACTGTTTGGGTGAGGTTACCAGATTACTTTAACCAAAGCTTTTATCCATTGGGCCTCGTGGACATCAGTGAATCAATTTTGGGGATTTATAAACCCAAAAAAGGCCAGAGCATAAAACAGTCAAAACGTTGTGAATATGACAAATGAGGACCACAGTTCAAACAATGTAAATAGTGTAAATAAGTAATAATGCTGGTGTTAAAAAAAAAAAATTATACATATAATCAATTGATTCTATCAGGACCAATGAAATCTTCCTGATTTTTTTTTTTTTTTTTTTGACATTGATTTTCAATGCAATTTTATATTAAAACCATTAGCAATGGATTTACATTGTAGGTATGACATTGTGCCAAAAAGTTCACAGCTTCACCAAGACACCCTTCTTGCCATATTTACCTGGCACAGAACTTCTCTTTTGGCCCAAAACTGTGGTCCTCATTTTATATGGGAGAAGGCACCCACTCCTGGAGATTCCAACCTTGCAACATAACCTTCCTCATTGTACTAAGAGTGGTGGGGGGTCAGTGGAATATCAACTCCAGCATGTCACTGGTCATAGGGACTGGGTAATTTTTATCCTTGGCCTCTATGCATACATATGTTTATGTGCTCCCCACACAAAATTGACCTTGTGTTATATCCTGCCTTAGGGTGAAAGCCAGGTACCAAGGAAACCTTCCACTCCACAAATCTGCAGTTTGGTAATTTGGTCAGATGTTGGGAAGTGGGGTGATTTGTAACTTTCCACAATTCCCTCACAAGCCCTGCATTCTATAAAGTTTGAAGGTGCACCACATATTCTGAAACCATAGTAGCAGTGCATATATCTAGAGCAAGAGATCTTGATGAAGAGAGCCAATCGCCTAAAAAATATATTTAGAAATTTGGCCAGATTTTGCAGAATGGGCTGTAACTTTTCACTAACCCATAACCAAGAGGAGAAAAAATGGATTCTTATCTTTCTCAAGGGCATTTGTGAATAAATAAATTCAATGAATTTGACCAGAATTTGAACTTAGCATGCCGATTTCATTTTGTGTGCTGATAACTGCTACACTACATGTCCATCCATATTTTTAATCTGTAAATTTCACTTCTGTGCTTTCATTTGTAATTAGTCTCTTGTTCTTACTAGTGACACATACTTATGCAAACTAGTATAGTTGTTCATTTGTGTAAGTAATAAAAAGGGGGAAAAAGCAAAGATTCTTTTTATATAGCAGCATTTAATTATTTTTAGTGTTCTGCTTTATTTTGTTTAGTTTCTTTTGCTGATTCAAGCAACGACAATAATTATTTCAGAACCACTTAAAATAAACTGTCTGGCAATGTTTGCTCCATATGAAATATGAAAGCTCTTTTCGTAATCTAGCCACATATACCAAGGAAAAAAAAGTATGTAATATTCAGTAATAGAATCTGAAGAATTTTTATACATGACTCACTAATGACAACAGAAACTAGATATCTAAGCCATTCTCTTGTTTGTCTCTGTCTGCTATAATATTGGTTCCAAAAGAGATTGTAAACAGAGAAAAAGATACTGTGCATTTACTGGCATATAATTTAATGTTTGTTGATATCCAATAGGGCATGTAGATGAAGGGAAGTTAATATTCTCATGCAGTCTGTCAAACTTACGGTTTTAATCATTCTGAAAGGAGATGATTTTTCAAGTAAATTTCATTTGTTTCACGAGCGGGTGCTGAAGAGTTATTGGCTTGATCCATTTCACAAAATCTGACCAAACATAATCTTTCTTTAGTTTTTACCGTTCATGTTCAAACAACACACAAATAAAAATTCTGAAGTTTGGTTAGATTTTGGAAAGTGTGTTTAGCCAATAATTTTTCAGCACTTCCTCATATAATATGACTGAATTAAAAACAGAAAGAAAAAATTCTGCAAAAATATATATGAGGGTGAGTCAAAAATTAATGCAATTTGTTTTATTATATAAGGAACACAAACATAATGTACTTCAAGACATAGCTATACATCACAAGTGCACATCCTTACTTTTCCATATTATCATTGAAAGACGTGGTGACTATGTTCCACCTGCAAATGAGGGCATGTATCCCAGCTTTGTAAAACTCAGGTGGCTGCTGATGTAGCCTATCCCTTACAGCAGTTTTCACATCTCCTTCACCATCATGATGTTTGCCCCTCAAAGCCTCTTTCATTGTACCAAGAGATGCAAGTCTGAGGATGCTAAGTGTGGTAATGAAGAACTGAAAACTACTGTAAGCAATTGGCTACATCAGCAGCCAGCTGAGTTTTACAAAACTGGGATACATACCCTCATTTGTAGTTGGAACACTATGTTGAAAAGTAGGGATGTGAACCTGTGATGTATAGCTGTATCTTAATATACACTATTTTAGATTGTGTTCCTTATTTCTTATATAATAAAACAAATCGCATTACTTTTTGACCCACCCATAAATTGATCAGTCACTCTACATACAATCAACAGTAGATCTAGAAATCCAAAAGTATTTAATATTTGACTGTTTTCAAAATCATAACATACTATTATGACATGAACTCTTATTTATTACCATCACATACTATTATGACATGAACTCTTTCAAAGTCTCTATTATTTTATGAATGACAATATATTTAGCTCATTCTCTTTCTTTTTATTACTACAACATTTGAAGTCCATCTATTCTATAACTTTCTTCAGTTATACAATCCATACATAGTGTAATGGAAAATGGTTCGGAATTGGAAATTGTAGTGCTGAGTTCCAATTCCAGTAGTGTTTGTTATATTTACTTATGGACAAATACCTTTGGGAAAGAGGTGAATCCACCTCTTTTCCTCCTTCTTAAATAGTAGTACTTGTATCAGTAAATTATTATTATCTCAAAAAAAAAAAAATATTTACAATCTAAAAATATATTTTGGTTTTAAATAACCTGTAAAAGGTTGATAAGTCATAAAAAAAACAAATCAGTCATATTATTATGTGAGGATTTTCCCTATTCCTTAGAGAATAAAAGAAATCTTCATCAGCCTAACTTAGACATTTTTTACAAGATTTATGTCTACAGTTTCTTTCAATTTCTTCACTTTCCAGCAGTGCCTCTTTTAGTTCATCCTTATCCCAGAGAAGAAAGTCTTATCTTTTTTCACTCCAGATAAACAAGTTTTTAATTCATTTTTTCCTATTTACAAATAGAAAAAATATATATATATATATATATATATATATATATATATATATATATATATATATATATATATATTTTCCTTTCTTTTTATTACAGTTCTTTAATTGGATTTTATGTTTTTTTTTTTTTTTTTTGTTTCGTTTTTTAATAATTTTGTTAATTTTATGCAATTCTATTAAGTTTACATCTTTGCATAATGTTTTATTTTGTTAGAGAATTTTTAATTTAGGAAGGTTTTTTCTACTTAAAGATTTAATGTTTTTCAACAACTGCTTCTCTACTTGTACTTTATTATTTATAGAATAACTTGATTTTTGTTTTTAAGTAACTGTTCTCAAATTTCATGAAATCTTAAGCAACTCTACTGCTGATGTCAGTGTGGATTAAACTACTTGAAAAAAAAGAGAAAAACATAAAATAAAAAATCATTACTTTATACTGTATTCTACTAATTCTACCAGTTTAATTCCATTGAAATGTCTTTCTTTCTTTTCTAATTTGACTGAAGCATAAAATATTTCAGCAACTATTTAAACAAGTAGCATCATAATTTTGAGGCAAAAATGAAGCCAACCCAAGTACTGATCAAAATCCCAAGTTGCTTATAAAAAATGTCTATTAATGTTATGAACATTTTTCAGAATTTAATATACATTTTAAATACTTGAACTTTCTAATAAGTCTTAAAAAAAACAATTTTACATGAATTTACAGTTTATATTATTGTAAAGTAATATAAATAATATTGCAATGTCACCTTTAAACATTTGCATAATGATTTCAACATCTCCATTATACATTTGTTTAATGATTGCAACGTCTCTTTTATGCATTTGTATAACGATTGCAACGTCTCTATTATGCATTTGTATAACAATTGCAACGTCTCTTTTATGCATTTGTATAACAATTGCAACGTCTCTATTATGCATTTGTATAACAATTGCAACGTCTCTATTATGCATTTGTATAACAATTGCAACGTCTCTTTTATGCATTTGTATAACAATTGCAATGTCTCTTTTATGCATTTGCATAATGATTTCAACATCTATTAAACATCATTGAAACATCTCTTTTATGCATTTGTATAACGATTGCAACATCTCTTTTATGCATTTGTATAATGATTGCAACATTTCTTTTATACATTTGTATATATGATTTTGCTTTAAAAAACCAAGAAACTTTTTTGCTTAGACAATTGTACAAAAGAAAGATAAGAATAACTGAAAAAAATACTTGTAGATAAAGTGTGTTTTGATTAACAATTATGCATAGTTTGGGTAATGCAAATCATTATTTGCTCTCAAGAGGGATATCTTTGTATGGAAAATGTCACATTTTCCCCCCAGGTTCCAAGATATTCCTCATCTCATCAATGTCGTATGTCATATCGGTGAAATATCTTGTTGGCCACTTGAAAACAACCATTTCTTTCACTGCCTTCATCACTATTTATGAATTGTCTTGAATCAGTATCCAATTCATAGCCAGAATGAAATAAAAACCAGTTCAAAGAATATTTTTTTCATACACTAGATCTCAAAGGATTAAGCTTAACCTGATTTCATGTCTCTTAACAAATACAAGGTCTGATCAAAAAGTATTGGAACTAGTGCTATAAAAATAAAACTACACTACATATCAGTTCAGTATTTAATCTCCTTTGAAGTACTCCCCTTCTGAAATGGCACACTTTATCCATTGTTGTTTCCATTGACAGAAGCATTCCTGGAGCTCTTTTTTTTTGGATAATGAGCAACTGCCTCATTGCATTCTTTTGGATTGCCTCAGTGTCTTGAAATCTTGCTCCTTTCAAGTGGGATTTGATTTTTGAAGAGGAAAAAGTCGCAAGTGGAGGAATCTGGGGAACACGGTGGTTTTCGAACCTGGGGAATGTTGTGCTTTACCAAAGTCTGCTCTACAAGCCATAGTTACTGATGGAATCTCTGTGGTGTGGTAAAGTGACCACATTCTACACACTTTCCTTTCATATACTACTATAAACAATGAAAGCAAGTGAGAACATTATGAATGAATTCCTCTCAAGCTTTTCAACCCAGATATGTCAATGTAACTGGTCAGGTACACAGCTATGCAGTTCCCCATCCAGGTCATAGGACTGATGATAAAGATAAACAAACTTGGCCTGAATTTGAGTTGTTTTCCATGAGTGCAGGTAGAAATGGATTCATGCTTTTTACAAGGACATTAGTGGGAAGTGAACATAACAATAATTTAGATTTGTCTGAGGCTGTTTATTTCTATGAATGAAGGGAGAAGTGGATTCATGCCTTTTCCAAGAACATTAGTGCAAAGTGAATATAAGAACAATTCAGATTTGTCTGAGGTTGTGTTCCATGAATGCAGGGAGAAGTGGATTCATGCCTTTCTCAAAGACATTAATGTGAGATGAAGATAAACTGTGTCAGAGAGAACTTGAATTGATTTCCATTGAGTGCAGAGTGAAACAGATTTATGTCTTTCCTATGGTGAACAAATGGTCTCAGATAGATTATGAGTTTTTTTCAATGAGTGCAGGGAGAAATGGATTCATGCCTTTCTTGATGACATTAATGTGAGATGACGATAAACTGTGTCAGACAGAATTTGAATTGATTTCCATTGACTGCAGGGAGAAATGGATTCATGCCTTTCTTAAGGTGAACATAAATAACCTCACAGAATATGAATAGAGCTTTCTCATTTTATTTTCTGTGTTAACAACCTCTCCAACACTTACCTATCTTGAGAAATACTAAAGTGATAATGCAGACTAGCCACTGAATATTTTTTATTCTTTGTTGATATCAGATTGCAGTAAGAATTTACCATCTTGTGTCTTGCATCCAATCAGTATTTGATGAAAACTATTATTTCTTAGGAGGAAGTTATTTGCATGAAGCACAGTGTGTACTTGGCAAGAATGATGGTCTAATATAAACCCCCGCCTTCTCCATTTTGTAATTCAGTTACTGATTACAAAGAATTTCCTTAGTCATATTTGGCCTCCAAAAGACTGATTTACATTGGTAATTGCCAAGTGCTCTCCTACTGAGTAAGATGTTTTTTAATGTCAAATGGAAACCTGAAAAAGTTATTGCAGCACATGAAAGAATCATACAATTGTCATCACATGAAATTGTATTTACAAACTGTTATATTATCTTAGAAAGTGATACATCTACAAAAAAAAGGGGGATTTTTTACATTAGAATTTATGGAGTTTTGTAATCATTCTTATGTTAGAATAAAATTTTTTTTTTTTTTTTTTTTTCCTTTTAATCATTTCACCCCCAAGCAAGGCAATAATGCCACTAAGATGCAGAAAGTACTGAAGGTAAAAGAGAAGTGAGTAAAAAAACAATAAAGGAACAAAATTCAGGAAAACAGAATGTTGCATTTAATGTTTTAATGTAGTTATCAGGGAAGCAAGAAATAGGAAGGGACTTCCACAGGCAGGAAACTTGATAAAAGAAACTATTAGAATAGAACTAAGTTACATCTAGCTAGTTCAACAGTAAAATGGTGAGACCTGGTTGCTGATTTAGTTGTATACTTAAATTCATGCAGTCTAGTTACCAAGGAGGAAAACTCATCAGAACAATTGTCATGAAAATATTTGTAGAAAAGACGTTGGGAAGCCACATCATGTTGGTGAGAAAATGACTGAAGTTGAGATATCAGGATAGATTACATCTCTGACATTTCTTTGAATTTTATCAAGAATCTGAAATATAATAGGAGCACTAGACCAGATATGGCAGCAGTATTCAATGCCTGGGCTATTAATAGGTTTATAAATGTGTAAAAAGGATTCTAAGGAGAATTGTCTGGCACAACACAGCAAACCAACTTTCCTAGCAGTAGATTCAATATAATCACAACACTTCATTTCGGTGGAATTTCTTTTATTCAGCAAATAAAAATACAAACTAGTCAAATCTATAAAAGGTTTTATCATTTAGAATGAATTTCTTTCTTTTATAAAAACAAAGTATGAGTTCTGAAAATCGATTTTAAGATTAAAATGATATAAGAAACAAGATCTGTGATGAATTAAAGAATGAAATAGAATTTACTTTTTCTTTTTTTTTAATCTGCTGTTACATTGGTTAAAATAAGAATTATATAAAATAGTATTTGGCACCTGGAAAATATATTTGTGGGATTTTGCAATATTTTTTTTTATTACATACTTTTTAAATCTGTGCTATCAAAGATCAGATACTTTCTCATAGAATCAGATTCAAATTTGTGTTAGTGCCAATGTCATGAAAGATTTCTTTATTAAATGATCAACTCTGAACACTCTTGACTTGCTTCAAGAAAACTAATCACTTTGCTTTCTTTTTCTCACTTTCCTTCTCTCTCTCTCTCTCCTTCTCTCTCTCTCTCCTTTTCTCTCTCTCTCTCCTTTTCTCTCTCTCTCTCTCCTTTTCTCTCTCTCTCTCTCTCTCATTTTCTCTCTCTCTCTCTCATTTTCTTTCTTTTTCTTCAATGTATTTTTCTCCTTTTTCTTCTCTCTTTTTATCTTTTATTATTCTCTCTTTCTCTTTTATTCTTTTTGTATATGACTATTAATTTATATTTATTTGTTTTTTGCCTGCATTTTACAACTACAAAACTAATGTTAGTTAAATCTGATCCAAGGTCACATGGTACAGAGAAAGATTGTGTTGTTCCAATTTGCCATATTGGGTGACCTTACTTGCCTTTAAAATCATCATATCAATACTGGATTTGAATACTGACATCTCCTTTAGCCATGAAGTAGACCCCAGTACAGAATAGTTCAGGTACATAACTCTTTTGCCCAGTGTTTTGGAATTGCTTTTCCCTTGGTTTTTTTTTTTTTTTGTTTTCTATTTTTTAAAGGTAATAACATAAGTCATCAGGTTGGAACCTGACATATAATGTGGAATTTGATGTTCTTAAGATCTGTTTCACCTGCTAGCCACTATTTATTGGTTACGAGTAAACATGATTAAAATGATTTGTGGCTATTGACCACTATCAAATTGCTCCATGTTGTGAGGAACCATTTGTCACAACTAAACAACTCTCATGTTATTTAAAACTGATCATCCCTAGATAATAGAAAAAGCAAAGCTGTTCATTGAAATATGACTTTAGTTTCAGATATGAGATTAGCATTAACATAATCATTATGATGAGGCTCTTATGTTAGTCTTATCAGATGTTACTATATGACTATTTTTCATATGTAAAAGAATCATTTGTTCACTTCTGGATTCATCAAATTAATGTTAGCTAAAATTCAACCTTTTTCTTGCAAGGATATGATGTATTGTCTCTCTTTTTTCTGTCTAGGTCAGTGTTTATATGACTTCCTATTATCTAGTTGTTTTAGGATATACTCACCTAAAAATAAAATCATCTGAATTCACTTCTTCATTTATGTTGGTGCACCCACTGACATCATTTAAGGCCGAATTCAGCACTTAATTGTTTTCAGATCACCTTCTTGATCAATCCTCAGGGTTCCTAGGTCATTGGACATTCTGAAGTGACACTGAGTATTTCTTAAGATGAATCAATTAAAAAAAAAAAAAAACTTAGAAATACTCTTGGCATATAATACAGTAAGATTCTTTTGAACCAATTTAATCTTTAAATTACTATTTCGGTAGTAGCATATGTCAGTCTTCTAACTTATTCTCTTCTTTTTAACTATCTGAATTTCTAAGATGAGGTATTGTTATGATTGTTATGTTAGTTCGTTAAGAGCAGTTTCCTCATCTTTGTTGCCTTTATTTGAGCCTCTATGTCAGTGATTCTCAAGTGGAATCTATATAACATTACTGGGGTTTACACAAACGGGTTTTTTTTACTAGTGTACGTAAATGTTCCATAGAATTTAGTTGTTAAACACAATTTTATTTCCATTAGTTTTACTTCAAAATAAAGCATATATGTTTACTACTTCTATAATACAATTCCTAAACTTATCTATTAGCAAAAATAAACTGAGTAAAAAAAAAAAATTTTTTTTTTTTATTGAATGTTTATGGGGGTCCCCAAAAAAGAAAATTGGGTAAAAAAAAAGCTTGAGAGCCACTGATCTATATTTTTTCAGGCTGATTTCTAAATTTTTTAAACAAAGTATTATTATTATTATACATTATTATTATACATTGTTTTTTATTTGTTTTTATTGTATAGGGTGAGACAAAAGTCATGCACCTCGGTAGATACAAGATAGCCATGTGCAAAAATATTCTAGAAGGTATGGGCTAAAATATGGGAAGATTAGTTAACCAGTCCTTCTTTGATGGTAATGTCATGTGTGAAACATACCTTCACATGTTATCGACATTCTTCCTGGATTACATGTTTAATGTTCCATTAGCAAAATGAATGAACATGTTCTTTCAACAGGATGGAGTGCCACCCCATTTTACTTTGATTGTGCGTGACTTTCTAAATGAACGTTTCCCTAACAAATGGATAGGTTGAAGAGGTCCTGCAGAGTGGTCACTGAGGTTACCAAAATTCACACCCTTGGATTTTTTTCTGTGGGGATATTAATCATTGTACTAACAGAAATGTTATCAAGACACTGTACACAAGGAAACTACTCTGAAAGAATTAACGTTGTATTAATAATTTTGTATTAAAAATTACAGATCAAAGGCTCTGTCACCTTGGGTATGATGATAAACTACATCCTCATCCTGGGTAAGATGATAAACTACGTCCAACAGCAAGGCCTCTGATCGGGAGCATTTGAAGAGTGTGGAACCACCTCTTAATTGTTGGTATTCCCAGATTCACCCTGACCTGGGGTGGTAGCACCTGTTAGGGTCCCAACTATGGGTAAATAGTTAGCCCCTAAACTGAGGTCAAAACACTATGAAAGTGTAAAAATAGGTTTTTATACCAGAAATACTTTGTAAAAAAATCATTACCAGCAACACATGTTTGGAAAAAAATATTGCCAGTTATACATTTTTGAAATAAAAAAATATTATCAGTAATAAAAATTTTGTCGGCATTAAAAAAACCCATTGAGGTTGATATGCCGTAAAACAAAACAAACCAAATCAAACCAATCAAATGCTCTGTCGCTAATAGATTAAATATTGAAGAATTATGTTAGGTAATTTTACCACATATTTCAAACAAAATATTTGATAATATAGATTTTTATGTTTGGAGCTGTGTAACCATGTCACAGCTTCCTCAGAACATGTCAAACTTCTAGATAAAACAAAATCTGTTTTATTACTTTTGTTCACCCATTATGACTGCTCTTGAATTCACTCATCCACATCCTGCAATAAAGTTTATTTATGAAATGGGAAAATTCCATTAGAAACAAAGAACAGGGCTGAACTGCTGTATAAGATCAATGCTCCTATATTGTGGTGAATGCTGGATGATTTCTTCACAGGTGAAGTGCAGCCGTGAAGTTACAGATTTGGTTCTACCAAAGAATGCTAAAGAATACTATGGACAAAACATGTGAGCAATAGGGAAGTTTTAAGAAAAATGGGAATGAGAATAACATTCGTGCTTATGATCAGAAAGATAAAGTTGAAATTTTTGAGGAGGAGGGATTGGAGAATTTGACACTCCCAATAAATTAAACGTTTGAGGGAAGCATCAAATGACCTACATAATGTGCTTGTGTAAAAAGATGGCAGAACGGAGTGGGAGGAATAGTAAGAAGATAAACATTGCTTAGAGTTATAGAGAATAGGAAGTTGTGGGGAGCCATGATTGCCCACATACTGTATGGATACAGCACATAAAAGATATCATTGAAAGACAAGCGTGTGTATATCACTCTTTCTCTTTCCCTTTTTCTCTCTCTCTATCTACCTGCATTTCTCTCTTTCTACCTCCCAGTTTCTCTCTCTCTCTCCCTCCCTACACCTCCCTTTCTCTCTCCCTACACCTCCTTTCTCTCTCTCCCTACACCTCCTTTCTCTCTCTCCCTACACCTCCTTTCTCTCTCTCCCTACACCTCCCTTTCTCTCTCTCTCTCTACACCTCCTTTTCTCTCTCTCTCTCTCTCTCTACACCTCCCTTTCTCTCTCTCTCTCACCCCCTTTTCTCTCTCTCTCTCTCTCCCTTTCCTCCCTTTTCTCTCTCCTACACCTCCCTTTTCTCTCTCTCTCTCTACCTCCTTTTCTCTCTCTCTCTACACCCCCTTTTCTCTCTCTCTCTCTACACCTCCCTTTTCTCTCTCTCTCTCTACACCTCCCTTTTCTCTCTCTCTCTCTTCACCTCCCTTTTCTCTCTCTCTCTCTTCACCTCCCTTTTCTCTCTCTCTCTCTTCACCTCCCTTTTCTCTCTCTCTTACCCTCCTTTTCTCTCTCTTACACCTCCCTTTTCTCTCTCTCCTCCTTTTCTCTCTCTACACCTCCCTTTCTCTCTCTCTCTCTACACCTCCCTTTTCTCTCTCTCTCCTCTACCTCCCTTTTCTCTCTCTCTCTACACCTCCCTTTTCTCTCTCTCTCTCTACACCTCCCTTTTCTCTCTCTCTCTACACCTCCCTTTTCTCTCTCTCTCTCTACACCTCCCTTTTCTCTCTTTCTCTCTCTCTCTCTCTCATATATATATATATATATATTTTTTCTTTTGCTTTTTTTCTTGCTCTCTTTCCCATTACTTGCTTTATTCCCTCTCCCTTTCTTTCACTTTCTCTCTCGTGTCTGTATGTGTGTGTGTGTGTCTCTGTCTCTCGCTCTTTATGAAAACGATTTTCTCCAATCACCTATTACTTCTGAGCATCACTAGTCTTTCTTCCATTCTTGAGTTAATATGCAAATTTCCTCTAAATTCTTCAGTATCTTTTAATCTCTAAATATTCCCTTTGAAGATACATTCTTCATCCATAATCGATCAATACATATCAATAATCAACTGTCTTAAACCAGCATAATCACATCACTCTCTTTATTATTCCTTTTTTCCCTTCACAGTTTTGACTATAAAATGTTTTTAATAGAACAACCTTGATATACAATTTAGATCCAACCTCATAGAAATGATCAGGACTTTGTACTACAAGATAAAAAATATATAATAAAATATAAAATAAGCAAGTATACCTCAACATTAACCGCTTTCTATACCACACTGTATGGAAGCTCCTTCTTTCTCAGTTAGACATTTTTCTCTCTCCTATTGACATGTTGAAATTACTCTCTTGCAATCATATGTTGGGTTCACCCAACTGCTCAAAGAGATGAGACTTTAATCTCTTCAAGTTAATGACTGCATGCACTTTTAACTGTGAACTCTTTGAAGAATTTATCAGTCTCAACAAATTTCAAATCTTCAGTGAATAAAAAGAAAAGCACATTTAAATTGATAATACAAACCAGATTTTCACTTTGTTTCTTTTCTTTTTCTTTCTCTCAAGCTCCATCAAAGGTTTTCTTCTCCTTTGTACTTTAATGAAATGAATTTGATGACAACACATCATGACTGGCTTGTCATTTTGTCAAAATTCTAATTCCAAAGAGTGATGCATTACGAGGCAGCCTCCGTTTTGTATTTTAACAAACACCCTTATCTATGCTAATAAACCTTTTCAACACAAATGCCTCTTCAAGTAACAAAATTAATGTAGGTAATTCTGTTACCGTATATGCTAGCATACAAGGCGACTGGGCGTATAAGACAACACCACCAAATTTTCAAGTTAAAATGTAGGTTTCAGGCTATATTTGCAGTACAAGACAACCCCCCACAAAAAAAAAAAAATAATATTTTAAAATGTTTTGTATTGAATTTATTAAATAAATTCAGTAAGCATATATTTTCTTTTCTCAAATTCTAATGAAAAAACGGTTTATAGTGTGTGACGATGGTTTTGGATTTCTCTTTTAACAAATATGCATTTTATTGTTGCTGTGCAATCATACCACATATAAGGCAAGAGTATTCTTATTACACTACTCTTTTTATTGTGAATTAAGTTGTTTGAGTAGAAAATATCTGTGTCAAAAGTTACCAAGGCAGTAGTTAGCCTACCGTCAAAAATCTCCCATGTTAACAACTTACCATAAACCACAGGATTTAAGGTTCACATTTTATACCTGGAGTATAAGACAGCCCCCTATTTTGGGGTGATTTTTAAGTTTAAACCACAGGATTTAAGGTTCACATTTTATAACTGGAGTATAAGACAGCCCCCTATTTTGGGGTGATTTTTTAAGTTTAAAAGGTCACTTTGTATGCCAACATATACACTAGTTTTCAGCCAGTTATGTGCCATGCATGATACACACCAATACATGACTGACAAGGCAGATTTTTTCCCACAGTCAGTTGCCATTTCTTTCTGCGGTAGACCAGTTGCCATCCAAGTCTATAGAACCTGGTCTGTCCTGCTATTTACCCATAGCTGGGAGGAGAAGAATAGGATTCATACCTTTCCCAAGGTTATTAGCATATAAGTGAATGTAATGGATTCAACTGGAATTTGAACTCAGCTCTCCAGTTCCTCAATCCGAGCCACTATCTATTACTCCACCATAAATACCTAAAAAATCTTATTGACATTTACCACATTCAGCATTATATTACATGATGAATGGTTCAAATGATACAGGTTGACTTTTTAGAATAAAATGTGATTGGAAATTTTGATGTTTGACTCAAGGAATCATTTCACTTGGAAAATTGATAACAAAATTAAAAAAGGAAAACTTGGATGATGCTCAATGATTACAAGATGCATTTTCAGTCTGTGGAAGGCTGAAGAATATGGAAGCTGTTATGTGCAAAAAAATATTACAATATTAGTCTATACAATTATTCTGCTACAAATCAGATTATTTTTTTTTTGTCTCAGATCAAAGTACAGTATCTGTTTTTTTTGTTTTTTTTTCTGAATTGCAATCAAGTTTTCTGACTGAGAAACATATGTAATACTTAGTGAGAATTTAAGAAAAGAAGAGTGGGTGGAAAAGGTAGAAAGAAAGATAGGAAGTAAGAAATCTTGAAAAAACAAAGAAAAGCAAGTGAAAATTAAATTTTTAAAGATCAAACTTAACTGGAAAGCAAGAAACCGGAAGGGAGTTCAAATAGTGAGAAGTTTGAGAAAAGAAACTGTTAGCATAGAACTTACAATTACATCTAGCCATTTTGTTATAGTGGAACACACCTATTCTATAGTTAATAGACTCTCCCACCTATAATAAGTAGGAGTAGTAAGAGTAACAAGTCAGTTGCTGAGTAAGTCGCTCAGTGAGTTGGTCAGTCAATCAATGCCGGATGACCGTTAGTCTGATACTAAAGTATCAGCGACCGCAACAAGATTTCTCTGCATCATTACCTATTATATCAAGTTCCTAACGTTTTGTACGTCGAACCTATTTTAGGACTGACTTAGTACAAATACAAGCCTCCACTGTGAAACCACTCCATAACACACTTCAACTGTAAAATGATGAAACCTTTGCTGCCAATCTAGTCCTGCACTTAAATTCATAGAGTCTAGGTATCATCGAGGAAAGTTCATCAGAACAGTTACCATGAAAGTATTTATAGAAAAGGCACAGGGAAACTACATTATGGCAGTGGCAAAGTGACTGAAACCAAGATGCCAGGTCAGGACCAATGAAATTGCAGATTCTTCTTTGGATTTTATCTAGGATTTGTAAATATATAACAAGAACACCAGACCATATGTGGCAGCAATATTCAAATCATGGGCAAATGGTAGACTTATAAATTTGTAAAATAGATTCAACCAAGAAAAATTTTCTAGCATGACACAGTGAATCAACTTTCCCAACTATAAATATAGCAATTGGTTCAATATAATCTTTCCACTTAATGTCAGCAGGAAAAGAAGGTGGTACAATATGTCACTTTCCTGGAGGTTAGCATCAGCCATGTTGATGGAAGAAAAAAAATATATATATGGTGGGTAATTGAATGAAAAAATGGAAAAAATTCTTTTCTGACTCATTTTGTCTTTCAAAAGGACTTCTTCAAACTAAATGTTTTTACTAATGGATTCATATATATATATAGGGGTGAAAGAAATGAAATACAAACATCTACACCTCTAGATACATTGAACACCAGAAATTTAAAAGTGTGAAAGTGAATGTAATAAGTCCCAAATGGAATTCAAACTTGGCTCACCAGTTTCTTAGTTCACATCCTGTTCTTGGGGTGAGGAGAAAATGGTTTTCTGGGTAAAGATAGCTCTCTCCTTCTTTGTCAACAGGACTGATTATAATGCTATTGCAAGTGGGGAGCATACCTCTACCTATAAAATCATTCCCCCCTCACCTCTATTAAAATGATGTGAACTGATTTTTGTGTGTAGATGTCCCCCTCCTGATTTAAACCCCCCCCCAACTTCAGAGCACTCTGGTAATGGGCTTGAACATATTCCATTATTTAATTATACTTTTAAGCTTAATGTAGTTCATTACAATCTGAAATCTTTGACATGAGTATGAAAATGTATATAATAACCTAATATTCTTTTTAAGAGTTGGGCTGCTCAAAGTAAATGGGTCACATAAACTTTTTAAATAAGTATACATAAGCCTATTTGAAGAACTTAGAAATCTCCAATATTGAAACTTTTTTTTAAAACTTTGCAGACTGGATAAATACTGATTCCACTAAGGCTTTGAGAATATGTTCAGCAAAAAAAAAACAAAATCTTAAAGCACTAAAGGAAACTAGAATGTCAAATTTTGCAAAGAGGACAGTATTTTTTCTTTTCATTTGACCTCAGTTGAAATCATAGTCCACAATCCCATGTCGCAGTTAATTGTCAACTCCGTCTTTTCAATGGTTGAATAAGTATATGCCTTGCCAAGGCTACATAACCAGTTTCTCATGGTGGGTGTTTTGAATTCAGAGTTGTCTCTCTCCTAGACTGCTTACCAACCATGGCTAGAATCCATCCTGCTATATAACATTGTATTACTTTCCTTTCCACTGCATTGTTTTTCAAGACTCCTCGACAATACTACTTAATTTTAGTCGTGGTCATTTTCTGCTGCCATAGCAGGATATGACAACACAAGTGCAAAATTTAAACATGCTATCATTCATTTTTTGCTTTGCAAATAATATCCCCTTCAGAATTTTAAAGGTTAACCCAAAGCTGGTAGGGAAGAGATAGATTTGAACTTTGCCTAGAGTATTTGTTTGAAAATTTCCCTTCAATCATTGGCTATCATGTCTGTCCTTAGGTTCCAATTATTTTTTTGTTTTCTAGGCATAGGATCTTTGTCCATTAAAACACTGGTTCTATGATCACTGAAGTTAAGCAACATCAAGTATGGTCAGTAACTAAATAGGTGACCACTTGGGAATATCAGGTGCTGTAAGCTTGCATGTGTGGCTGATGTAATGGATAACTGCTTGGAATTGGAAATTGGAGAGCCAAGTTACAATTCCAGTCAGGTTTATTATATTCACTTATGCACAAATGCTTTTGGGAAAGGTATGAATCCTCCTCTTCTCCTCCCCAACTATGGGTTAATTAGTAGAACTTGTATCGGTAAATCATTATTATCTCCAAAACATTCTTACAATCTAAAAATATTTTCTGGCTATAAATAACCCACAAAATGTTGAAAATCTGTATAAAAAAAAAAAAATAATTCATTTCAATTTTGCACCCTAGGTCTAGTGATATTTGTACAACTTCAGGTGACTGAATTTTGAGAT